TTAATGGAATATCAAATGCTTTAATATTTTCGTGTTTTACGAACTTCTACTTGAATTTAAGGTTGTTTTGAAAGATCTTTTTAAAAAGTATGAACTAACACATAGCCTGACAACAAAAATATATAAGTAATTTTACAAGGAGGAAAGAATTATTTAGTTATAAAGGTGGGTACTCAGATAATATTCATGTAAACCTCAAACAAAAATCTATTATTTTTTTTTATAACAAAACAATTATTATTCAGAGTTTAATGGAATCTTTTTATTATTTTATACTTGAATATTCCTCTTATTTATGATATCATTATGTATTTATTTACAAAATATCCGTTTCATTATACGAAACATGTTAATAATATATTACCTACAAAATTTAAGATCTCTAATTTTGGTTTGCGATGACTCCAATAATCTTTGACTATCTTTTATCCACCCATCCCCAACATTACTTTAAAATCACTAATAGTTGTTCAATTTCTTCATTAGTAAGGAAATTGGGATGTTAACAAACTTTGGAGCAATTCTTTTTCAGATTGTGATGTTATGGAACACGATCTTTACTTTTTTTTGTTGGTATAATACTCTATTGATTAGTTGAAATACCTTCTAAAAGTTGAATAAAAAGCTTGTTAATTATAATTGGAGTTGATTATTTGTGAGGATACTGAAAGACTTAAAAAAATTTCTAATTATAATATTTCTGAAAATGGATGATGACGTGAGGGGTCAAAATTTTTAAAAATTAAATGACGTGAAGTTATTTCAAAATAATCAGTTCAATAATTATTTTGGTGTTTGTTTTTTACATGTATTATCAGTTTACCTCTAGAAGAAAAATTTTGTTGGAAATTGAGCATTTCCAGAAAAATGTTCGTTCGCGTTCATTATTTGATTTTTCGATAATGATCATATTTTTTTAAGCCCTCCCGTCAATAATACACGTGAAAAGTGTCGTATGGAACCAAAGCAGCCCACATGTTGTTGACAGTCACGTCAAATAATGACCCACCAATAAATTTGTCCATCAAAACTTATGACCTACGTACTTAAGGATTTCCCTATACAGTCGCCTTTGTTTAATAAATTTTTAAAATAACATGATACACAAAGTTCAATAAAAAAAAAAGATAAAAATAGTAGCGGCGTAAAATCCAAGAAAGTCTTTATTACATTTCTAATATTGATTGAATGCATTTTCTAGGGGCATTACTAAATCCGACTTTTTATGTTTATGTATGTCAATTGGTATAAATGTATCAACCTGTAAGTAGCATGTTCTAATCAACAAAAAGATGATCTGATTGTTTTGGTTTACACCATTCGAAAGTAAAAATTGATCAAAAGATTTCATAGTAATGTTGTGTTTAACAAAGGCTGAATTTTTTTTTCTTTGTAACATAGAATAAATGGTTAATCTTATAAAGAAATTGATCAAAGAAATATGTATAATGATGTAATTTGAATCATATGCAATTTTGAAAATATTCTTTTCAACATTAAATCGATACATGATAAAAGACCCCATTGATTTTTGTTTTACCAACCAATAGAAACTAAATCAAATAGTAAATCATATGATCCAAACCCATCTCTAGCCAATCAAGCGCAGCGAGATTATCCGGCAAAACTGAAAAACAAAGAGATGTGTTTTCACGTTCTTTTTTTATAAAAGCCACATGCCCCAAATTTATCAAACGTAATAAGAATTTAACCTAAAAAGTAGAGTTTTGAAAGGAAAATGAAAAATTTTTTTCCCATATAGGACTGATTGATTTCCTTATCAAAGACAATCAAAAAAATTAAATATTGTGATTTTTTTTTAAAAGGGTCAACGATGATATTACCCGTCGATATGATCATGTGATCAACTTTTTTCATGTATATAATAATGTTCAGATAACTGACAAAATTCCCCACATTCAAAATGTAACCCTATAATTCTTTGTCAGTTTTCCTCAGTGCCGTTTCTATTAAAATTAAAATCCAACCTACTCTATCTTGTGAGATTGATTTATTTTAAATCAATCATCTTTTAAAATAAAATAAAAAACTTTAAATTTGGCGGTAACCTACAGGAATGGACTATTACAAAAAATGCGAATGCTAAACCGAGGACTAAAGATTATAAACGATATTATCCCTTCAATAAAGATTCCGTATTGACACAAGGATGGCTTTGATAATGATATACAACAACATATAATCGCGAGTTGACTCATGGTCGGAATTATTGAAGGCACCGAGATTTGGATTTGGAGTGATTCTAATAATCTGGTCACACTTTCCCAAACTTCTTATTGGGTCGTCCACCTGTTAATAATATAAATAACCGCCTTATCAAGCTTATAAAAAGCTCAACAACAAAAACATGTTTGATGTCGGGAAATTTCTTTTGGAACGCTTCCACCGCAATGGATCAAAATTTTCCTTTTCATAACACCTTCCCTTCATCAACATTACTTTTGATTTCTAAAACAAAAAATTTAGTAAAAAAACTCAAAAATTTATTAAAACAACCATTTACTTTGACATGTAGAATAATCGGACTGTAAATTTATTTTTTTTCCTTATAAATATCACAATTACCATCATAATCAATTTATGAAAACATCATGGTACATTGTATTTGGAAATACTAAAATGCGAATGCATTTAAATAATAGAGTATAAAAGAAAATACGAAGGGCGATGATGGTCGGAATAGAACAACAAATCCGGGACTTAGGTCAAGAAATATTACCGCTGATTAAATTGGGAATACGAATTTTTTCTGGAGGATCTATAATAGCGAGCGATTTATAGATTTTATCTTCCATATGTAAATTTATTAATTTCGTTGTCTAATTTTATAAAAAAAAAAAAAATAAATTAAATGAAAAACTTCTGTATAAAAAACTTTAATATATGTAAATATTTGTATTACGTCCCCGACAGTTTCGATCAAAAGAAAATCTCGAATTTTATTCGAATATAAAGAGTGATGAAATAAAAATAAAGTAGCTTTAATGGCAGTGCCATAGACTTAACTTCATCAGCTATTTTATCATCGAAGATTCAATAAAAATTTTATTCATTGGTTTTGAATTTTTTTCTTTCTGTGGGAGGTGATCAACCTTAATCACGTGATTTAATGTGATAACATCGAATTTGACCATAAAACAAAAAGAAATTGCATGACGTAACATATTATATGTTACGCAAATCGCCCAAAGTGCTTTTTTACTGCGTGTACAAAAAAATTTTACTTCGTGTTCATCAAATTTGCAACTTTCAATTTTGAAGCTTTGCTTATATACAACCATATTCTTCACTCAAATAAAATTGAGCAGATCCAACAAAAAACCAACAACAAGGTTTCTACGTCTTTGACAACATCATTACCTCAAACAACGAACTGACACCCTCCAATCCAAATCGTTTACAAAAGGACGAAAATTACCTACTGATGATTTTATAATGTAAATAAAATTCAATTTAAATTTTACTTGATATCTCAATAAATATTAAACCGATCATTTTTGAAAATTGAATGTTAGATATTTCAAAATCGGACTTACTAAGGACGAAATAAAGAAAAATTTAGTCTTTAATTTTGATCTCACTATTTAGTAATGCATTTTAACTTTTTGGTTTGGAAATAAGAAAAGAAAATTGGAATTTAATTATTATAAAATTCTTAGTTTAATTAGGTTTTTTTTTTAATTTATTAATATGATGATAATTGAAAAATAAAATTTCAACAAATTCGTTACCTCCGTAGTAAAATAAATTTAAAAAATGTTTTTTCACTTTATTAAAAAAGTTTTTATTTTAAATTTGTTTCTTTTTATCGTTATTAACATTGTAAAATAATTCTATTAAATAATTATTAAAGGAGTAATTTCTACGACTATTGTACTTTAGTTATGAATGAAATAAAATCCGTCGCCTCCTTCACCTCCGTAGCAAAATAAAAAAAAAAATGTAAAACTAGGGAACGACAAAAACCAATCGCTAGTATATGAAAGCCTTCGCTTCGCTCCGGACTAATAAATTTTAAAAAATAAAATTTTTTGTGCGTTTCAAAAGGTTCCTACATTTTTTGGTAATTATTTGATCTTTGCATATACAAATCATAAATAGCATTGAGTTCAATTGTGGATTGAGCATTTATTGGGTCATTATGATAAACTTTTAAAAAAATTATTTCCTTGAAACACATTAAGGCTAAGTCGGATCCAATTCCATATGTGTTTAAGATGAACTCGTATATTTTGGATGAGAAGATAAGGGATTT